CCACAACGACCTCCGTGACAGTGATGCCAAGCTTCGACATTGCCTTCGGCGGCGTCACCATCGAGCCGATCCTCATCCCGGAACAGGACAGGAATGGTCGCCCTATGCTCCAAGCGGACTGGCTCGCTCGCGGAGTATGGGAAGGTAACCGGGTGGCGTTTTTCGATAACCGCATCGTAGATGCTGACGCACCCAGTTATGCCAAGGTCAACCTGTCCTGGAATGCCACCGCCAACAAAGCAGCTGCAGCGAAGAAGCGGAAGTATAAGCATGCCGCTGAAGAGCTACGAGGCTCCTTTACTCCTTTGGTGTGTTCCACTGATGCTGTCCTCCACCACGAGTACAGTGCGTACCAGAAACGTCTCACCAGTCGCTTTAAGGTGGCAGACTACCCAAAAATTTGCTGAAAAGTCGATTTTGTAAATTCATATCGAGTGCTACATCAGTTGAAAGAGCATAAATAGCTGCAAATTCTCTGAAAATGTTGTCCTGATCTGACCAGCCGTTCAAGAGTTATGGCCGAAAATGTGCCCTTGCAAGGAAAGATTTTTTTGTTGCACGCTGTCATTTGTTGGCAGCACTGTATTTGAATGTGAGCAGACCGTGCGCAACTTGTCGTATTATGGAAACACGCGAAAGTGTGCAGAATTTTGCCCCAAGTCCAAAAAAGTGCAAAAAATCACGTTAAAAAACCACGTATTGGGCTGCACGGCGGCGGGCGAAGCCCGCCGCCGTGCAGCAGGACTTTTGCCAGCACCCTCGTGACGTTGCAGATATGTGGCTTGATTATTGTAGTTGACGTTGATTTAGTGACTTTGGCAAGTTTGAGTCGTGTCAAGAAGTCAGGTAGGATTCAGTACTAGGCAGTAGTGAAACGTGAGTGGCAGTCTTTGCCGGTTTCTGAGGGCATCCTGGATTTGGTGTGCAGCGCTGTGGAAATGGCTTGCTGTGGAGGTCCCAGCACTGGATGTTGTATCAAAGGTACGACCTCGTAGCACACCCTAAACCTAAAAAATTCAAAAATTGACTTGGGTCTGTGGGAGTCCGCGAGAGAACGCCCACTCGTTCCGTTGTGACAGATTCCAGGGCCACGTTGAGGGGCCCTACCCCACCACCCATGGCTGCTTCTGGACTTGTTTTAGGTTTGAGTCCCGCGCACGGACAGAATGGGCACGAAAATGTGAAAAAATGTAAATGCATTTGTTTGGCTCCTGGGTGGCTCGCACACCGTGGCACTATGCCGGAAAATTGAGTTTTTCCGGCCTGGAAAGCCTGTCAGTGAGGCGCAAGAACTTGTAAATCATGTCCTGAGGGCCAGCATAGTGGCAGGAGTGTGTGGTCAAAATTTCACTCAAATCCACTGAAAAACACCAAAGTTACGGTCAATTGAATGCCATATGAAATTTATGGGTAGGCTGCCCCCTTAAAGCAGCGAAATAGGAGAAGCCCTTCTCTGCCATGATGGCTTGGGTACTCGTGCGCACTCAGTTCGTCATTTTCAGCGCCGTGGACATGCGTCTGCGAGGCTCCCGTCGCCGTCTTATGGGACTCTCCGTACATAACGGTGCCGACTAATCATCTCAACACAGATCTTAGTGAGAACAAAACTTTAAAAAACTTTTAAAAAACTACTTCTACGTACTAACGATGAAGGAATTTAGAAAACTTTTTCCAAAGAGAATGTTTGGCCATGTTGCTGAGTAGGCATTGGCAGATTCTGCTCGAAAAGCAGTGAAATTGGCATAACCATGCAAACCTTATGGTGGACAATTCCTTGAATTCTGCTCCATTTCTATATCCACATACCAAACATGCATGAAACTTACCAGAAAAAGTACCGAATTCTGCCAATTTGTCTTCCGGAATTATCTGCACATGCCTACTGCTGAGCAGAAGTTGCTGTTGGTATCATTCGCAATCAATGTTTTCTTTGAAAGGTATTCCTGACTTTTGTGTCTAGGCTAACCACATCTATGATAGTTTCAATAGTTTGTGTATATGTCAGTTATAGTAGTCCGCAATGCTGCTTTTCTAATTCTCATTATGATTAGCATGCAATGTACTACCCGAAGTACTGAATTTACTTCTTATGTACTCTATATTCTAATGTATCTTCTACCTCTTCTCCCTTACGAACATACTTTCTCATTAATTTTTCCATACTTACTTAGGAGACTCCCTTCGATAGGCATCTATTTGCCTCTGGAGGATCCGTGAAATAAAAATCAATCAATCAATCAATCAATCAATCAATCAATGTTAGACTGTTTAATCTGCATGTAAGTCATTGACTGTGACTGAGCCAGTCTCCGTCACGTGATATCATGCACTGCGTTTCTGTGTTCTATGTAGCTTTGTAAATGATAGCAATGATGATGTCCATGAATGTCACGTGATCACTCTTAGTCAATGTAGTGGTTGATTGTGTGACGATGCAGTTAGACAGTGTTGATGTGTAGCATAGTCGACATACAGTGGAGTCTGTATTTTACACTGCTGTTCGTCTCATAGTGGAAATGTGGAAAATCTCAAACAAGATGTCATTTTCTACAAGTCATGTAAGAAGGAAATGATTTTCTAACGTGATCCGCTGCAAATGTGGTGTCTGTGTCTGTGGCTGGAGGCCCAATGTGTAGCTGGAACTACCACATATGATACCGCACAGAGCTAGAGATGCATACTCCCATTGTACTGAAATTGGGTATTGGCAAATGAGTGTCCCTGTAACCGACCTGGGACCATACCATCATTCAGGAGCTGGCTCTGTATCTCAAGACTGTGTATTCTATTGGTAAAAGTTTCCATTCTGAACTCAATGCCACTGGGTTGTTATGTCTAGTGTTATGTGTAATGACGTCACGACGATTGAAGGGAAAACTCTGTACAAGTACAAAGTACAGTCTGTAGTCTTAAGTACAACTTCTAACGTTATGCTGTATTTGTTTACTAGGACAAACCTTTTTACGTTATGCTGTATTTGTTTACTAGGACAAACCTTTTTACGTTATGCTGTATTTGTTTACTAGGACAAACCTTTTTACGTTATGCTGTATTTGTTTACTAGGACAAACCTTTTTACGTTATGCTGTATTTGTTTACTAGGACAAACCTTTTTACGTTATGCTGTATTTGTTTACTAGGACAAACCTTTTTACGTTATGCTGTATTTGTTTACTAGGACAAACCTTTTTACGTTATGCTGTATTTGTTTACTAGGACAAACCTTTTTACGTTATGCTGTATTTGTTTACTAGGACAAACCTTTTTACGTTATGCTGTATTTGTTTACTAGGACAAACCTTTTTACGTTATGCTGTATTTGTTTACTATTGATTGATTTATATTTCACGGATTAGGCCTTGACGGATTATGCTAATATTTTCGTGAAATTATGCTTTTCGCATTGCTGAAAAAATTGCAGAATTATGCTATTTTTATGCTAAAAGTTATACATATTATGCCGCATTATGCTCACATATGCTGCTAATGTACATGTATAATGGTTGTGTTCAAAATAACAGGGGAATTTTTTGTAGAGGGCGCTGTACTATAGTAGCAAAAGTTCAACGGGGTCAACGCACCGTCCGACCTAGCTACGACCGTCACTGATTGTAGTGGACTGGACATGTTAGGGAGTCGTAAACCTACGACTTCCTGGTGCATCAACTTGTACTTGTACTTGTAGAACATGTAAAACTGTATGGAATTTGATGCGAACAGGCGGATTATTCCAATTTATGCGATTCGTATGCAATTTGCCTCGAATTACGCGATTATTCGATTTTGGTAGGAATTATGCGAAAAATTATGCTAGCATAATCCGTCAAGGCCTATCACGGATCCTCCAGAGGCAAATAGATGCCTATCGAAGGGAGTCTCCTAGGACAAACCTTGTTACGTTATGATGTATTTGTTTACTAGGACAAACTTTTTACGTTCTTAAAGGACAAGCAGCAGCTTTCGGCTTGTTTATCTATAAAGTTATTCCACATCCACCGAACGCGCTCTTCTCCAAAAGCCTTGGATTCATGTTGCTGGTGTGTGAGGTTGGCCAGAGAGCGTGTTTGGTGGAGGTGGAATTACTTTAGCCCTTTTTACTGGCAAAATAAACATACTACAGTATGATTTTCACGCACATTCACATGCCAGAGGAAAAGACAGCAACAACAACAGCAACAGCCCTCCAAGTCCAAGGTTCCAACACACCATTGCATGCTTACACATACAGTAGACCTGCTCACGCACGAACACCCGAATGTACAGTCTGTTGCTGAATACTACACCAAACCACACACAAGACGTACCACACACAAGACCACACTCAAGCAACTCACTACGAGTACAGTGTCTGCATTGTCATTGTCAAGTTGCTCAGAGCCGCCATGCCATTATGGTGACATGTTTTTAGCAACAACCAGTTATGAAATAGAATTTTACGACAATCAGATTGACAACACCAACACCACCCTGGTCTGAATGGGACTGTGCTCTAAGACATGATGTCATCAGCTCTTTGTCCATATTTGATGAGAAGAGCGTAGCATTGAATCGTGATTGGTTCCAGGTAGTGTTGCTTTGTGGTAATGGGGTAGGTCCCCCATTATGTGTGTAGTCTACATGTGTGAATGTGATTCTTGTCACCAATGACTAGGTAAACAACACATTTTTATGGTCTCGGTCTGTGCAGAGCGGGACGACATCGTGCAGACGTGTAGCATATCACGTGACAACACAATGACACACGCACACACGCAATGCTGCGAACAAAAGATGCCTGAGTTCGCGCTAAGGCACACAGCCACAAAGCTAAAGCAGTATCACTAGTAATGTATGAGTAGATGGCCGTCCGTGGTCTGCCAGACAGTGAGCATGTCCTGCCATTTACCACATGCATGTGATGCACGATTCGTTCAAACATCAGATCACATCGCTTTGGTCAGCACCGCTCCGTCATCCATTTCTCAAGGCACAGTCCAGTTGTCCGTTTTCGTCTACCTGCCTTTCTCTTTTGTTTCAAACGTCTTCTAGTGTTGTTGAACAGTCCCTCTGACCTACCTTTGTTAGTCGTGCATTATCCTTTCTAGTCATTGTTACTCTTTCTCTCAACTACTAATCAGTCTGTAGTGGCTACAACGCTCTCTCAGAGAGTAACAAGTTCAGCACAACGCTCTCTCAATGAATAACAAGTTCTGCACAACGCTCTCTCAGTGAATAACAAGTTCAGCATAATGCTCTCTCAGTGAATAACAAGTTCAGCATAACGCTCTCCTTATCTCAACGACCTACTTATTCCAGTCAGCCCACTCAGCCAACGTTTGAAGAAGATCTTTAAAGGAACGGACAACTCTCTCAGTAAGTAAAAATACAATCATGTGCTATAGGTCTATTTGAAATCCCCTACAGCAATAGTATCACTGATATTGCACATTGTGACTATGCCTACTCCAGAGCTAGGTCATCAGGCTGAGTGACACGGTTGAGAGCTAGCGTGTGTGCTCATGCTTGGTGGAAGTCCGCCAGGTACTAACTGACCTGGTTGACATAATGGCCAATGGGTGTATTTGCTCACGTTAGCGACTGAATCATTCGATTCACTCCCGGACCTTGTTCTCGTACTGAGTGCTACATCTTATCGGTCTAGTCAGCAACTGTGGATCGTTCAGTAGCGGTTCATGACCTGTAGATCAAAGTCCAAAGTTCAAACAGTGAGTTACTCCTTCGCTGCACCATTCCGTCGATCAGCTGAATACCTTTTTGCAGGTGTAAGCCCTCCGGACTTCCACGTCAAGTTTCTTCTCTTCTCTTCACTGCTACTTGAAGACAACGTTCAACAAAACGGCAAGGATGACTTTCTTCAATTCAGCTCTTTCCTTTAGACTCACTAACTGTAGCCGTGCTTATCTATGAGAAGTTCAACGGTGACTTTATCCGTATGGCAAGTTAGAAACTGAATAGACCATTTTCAGAACTCTCAATAGACCAGAGAAGTTCATCATGTTTCCTACACTTAGCGAGAAAGAAGAGAAAAGTAGATCGTTTTCACTGTCATCAACGTTTCTCCAACAAGGAATGTAAGTTACAAATGGTGGCACTCCATCTCTTTCTCTTCGTTTACTTCCCATATTTTCGTTAGTACTGTCGTCTCGTTGGTCTCCACCTTTGTCCTTGTCTCGTGTCGCAACGTGACGGCCATTCAGGGACCTACTGATTGACCTCTTGTAGATGAAGTACATTTCAGTTCTTTGTAACGAAGGTAGACTTGACGAGCAAGAGGATGTATAGATATTTCTAGTTGCGATTGACATGAAGATTGTTCAAATATCAAGTGTTTGCTGTTGTAACTGTTCGTGCTTGTCAAGTTGAAGTTGAAGTTGTTCCATTCATTTTGTGTGGAGACCTTTCTTCGAACTGGCGTTTTCTTCTTTGTTGTCAACGGTACGAGAGTTGGAGTTGTTTGAGGTGGAGAGCAGTATTCTTTCGTTGATAGTTGTCGTAGGCAGTTGTAGTAATGAGGTGTAACATTTGTCGGTGGTTTCTGTGGTTTTGCTGAGACAGGTAAATTGCATTGTGTTGCAGTGTGTTGTGAAGATGTCCCCGTGATGTCATTCATTGATCGTCTTCACCTTTTTCAGCTACTGACACAGTCATTGACTGACGTAGCTGCATGTCCGTGGACGTGGGATCAAAGGTTATTCCACTCTAAATATGGTGTTGGTTATGACGTCATGATGAGTGTGTATGTGTGTGTGCGTACGCATCAGTGTAGATGCAAGTATTGACATGTGAGATCAATGTTGTTTGGATCATTGTGTATGTCATAGTATGGGAGTACTTGTTGTCTTTCTTACCTCTTATTTTCTGTCCCCTTGTCTGTCCATCTGTATGTGTATCTGTCCGTCTGTTTGTATCTGTCTGTCCATCTGCGTTTGTCTGTGTGTGTGTGTGTGTGCATGTGCTTGTGCATGTGTGTGTGTCTGTGTGTATCTGTGTCGTGTGTGTGCATGTGTGGGGCAGTCTGCCTGTCTGTCTGTTCTCTCTATGTCTGTCTGTCTGTCTGTGTGTCCATCTTGTGTGTGTGTGTGTGTTTGTGTGTGCATGTGTGATTATCTGTGTCGTGTGTGCATGTGTGTGGCAGTCTGTCTGTCTGTCTGTCTGTCTGTCTGTCTGTCTGTCTGTCTGTCTGTCTGTCTGTCTGTCTGTCTGTCTGTCCATCTGTGTCTGTCTGTCTGTCTGTCTGTCTGTGTTGCGTACGCATTGTTCCTGTACAGACATGTCCAGTCAAGAAGTCGAAGGCTTTTCTCAGGAGGTACGGCGACGGGGTGCCACACTGGAAAGTCTTCAGGCTGCTGTGCCTCCTGAGCAGCCGCAATTGTCCTCCACATCACGTAAAGTGACATGGAAACCACCATCATACCCACGGACACGCTGCTACTCAATGGGAGTAAGTAGAGTGTTGCTGTACAGTGTGTGTGTGTGGGGGGGGGGGGGGGGGGAGTTTTCTGTGACACCTGGTCTTCTTGTCTGTACCATTGTCAAGTGATTGTTGGCCAGTGGGAATCGTTGATGTGACATAACTTTACAAGATGTGCAATTGCTGCAAGCTTCTCTCAAGCTGGAATAAAGTTATGCCAATTTGTCTGGTTTGGATCGCTGACCCCTGAGGTCAATCAGTAGGTTTCCTAACTCCTGATGGCATTGTACTGAGAGTATTGTTGCTGTCGTTTTTGTAATTGTCAAATCGTTTTTTCTGTTTTGTATATCACACAGACAATGCTCATTCTTGTGATCTGCTTTGAGGGTCAGCATCTTCGTGATGACATCCTCTACACTATTGTACACTACATATTTAGTGTACATAGTGTAGAGATGGATGAGCAAGACGAAACTCAAGTAAGTTGTTGTGTTCTTGATTGTTACAAGACTCAGCACTGTTCAGGTTTGTCATGGTTGTTCTGTATGTCTGTCTGTGTGTGTGTGTGTGTGTCTGTTGTCTGTCTGTCTGTCTGTCTGTCTGATGCTTCGCTCCTGTGTTTCTGTATCCCTGCACTGTAAAATGCATCCGTCTGTCCACATGCCCCACGACTTCGCGTAATTGGGATGTACAACTTACTGTGTGTCTGTCACGTGTGTGTGTCTGTCACGTGTGTGTTTGTGTGCGTGCGCATGCGTGTGTCTGTGCATGCGTGTGTGTGTGCATGCATGTGTGTGTGCATGCATGTGTGTGCGTGTGTATGTGTGTGTGCGTGTGTGTGTGTGCGTGCACGCATGTGCCTGTGTGTGTGCGTGCGCGCATGTGCCTGTGTGTGTGTGTGTGTGTGTGTGTGTGTGTGTGTGTGTGTGTGTGTGCGTGCATGCATGTGCCTGTGTGTGTGTGTGTGCATGTGTGTATGTATATGTGTGTCTGTGTGTGTGGGTGCACGCTTGTGCCAGTATGTGTGTGTGTGTGTGTGTGCGTGTGTGTGTGTGTGTGTGTGCGCGTGCGTGCGCGAATGTGCCTGTGTGTGTATGTGTGTGTATATGTGCGCGTGTGTGTTGTGTGTGTGTGTATGCGCGTGCGTGCGTGTGTGTGTGTGCGTGTGTGTGTGTGTGTGCGCGTGCGTGTGTGTCTGTGTATGTCTGTATGTGTGTGTGTGTGCGTGCGTGCGTGCGTGCGTGCGTGCGTGCGTGCGTGCGTGCGTGTGTGTGTGTGTACAGTTCGACCGGACACTACTGCACCTCTGTGCAATGCGTGGAAATGATCGACTAGCAAATATTCTCATCGGACGTGGAGCTGATGTCAATGCGCAGGACAGCAGCTGGGTAAGAACTAGTGATAGTTTAGAGTCTGGTTGTCTCAACTGAATTCTCAGTTTGTATGATCCTACATGTCTATCTGTCTGTCTGTAAGACAATCTGTTCATTGCTTCTGCATGTGTGTCCTTCCATTTGTATGTCCACGTGTGTATGTACATCTGCATGTGTGTACATGTATGTGCATGACGATGTGTGTGTGCATGTGCGTGTGTATGTGTATGTGCGCCCGTGCGTATGTGTGTGAGTGTGTGCGAGCGCACATGTGAGTGTGTGCGAGCGCACATGTGAGTGTGTGTGTGTGTGTGTGTGTGTGTATGTGTGTGTGTGTTGATGCGTTTGTTCTAGTTGTCCAGGTCTGTGTCGGTGTGTGGTTGTAGTAGTTAGTGTAATGGTTGTATAGCAATACTCATCACATTCTCTCTTTCTCTACAGTTCCGACGGACTCCACTTCACGAGGCAGTCCGCTGGAACAAGATCAACGTTGTCAAGGTGATGCTGTCACATGACAGTGACGGTGTCACCTTGGATACCACACTGCGTGACGGTGTAAGTATTTGATTGTGTGTTGTTGTGAAGTGAACAGTTTCTACTCGTCCTTCTCACCTTAGTCCATCGGCCAAATCTCAGAAAGGGCCTCTTTCGGCGAAGGTGATGCACTGAAGCTCCAACTAAACGCCCTTTGGCACACTAGCTCATGAGACCCCATAGAATACGAATCCGTTTGTTGGACGTTGCCAATCCAGTCCAGGACAGTCGAACTGGGTCGAATACCTTCTTCCGATTTTCGTAATTTCGTCCACCATTACATCTTTCTCATCGACTTTTTTTCGCTTGGCGAATGTTCTTGAGCCGCTGAGCAGAATCTACGCACGCTCGAACACTTGAAATGCCTGCATGTTGACGGTTCGCAAGATTCTAGCGAGCTTGGCGGAAATCTATTATTTATTTTGACATTTTTGGGGGAATCTGAATTAGAACGGTAGAAGCTCATTCGGAGAAGATGGCGTGTCGCCGCTGTCGGATTGTCGCTACTGTGTTTCAGACGTATTTGCTTGAACGTGCTATTGAGGATGGACAGAAGATGAAGTGACGGCTTTCTTGAACACGGACGTTTTGTCTACATTGTAGCTGAAACATCTCATCTGGCGTCTAGAACGCAATTATTAGGAGTTGTGAGTGCCAGCTGAGCTGAACACAAGCTGGACACCATTCGTCAGCTGGGAATTTACATCGAAGCTCTTGATAGCCACGATAAGCATAATTATACAGAGGTAACCTTGTTTGACTCAATACGCATGCAGGTGATACCACTAGTGGCACTACCATGTAAATGGTGCAAAATTGATGCAACAGCGAATATGTACTTCGTACAATCACGAACAATTGTAAGGCAAGTGTTCATGCCTGTCATAGAAAAATTTCAGCCCGGAAGTCTTGTTGTCATGGTCATAAATAATACAGGACTTGAGTTGGCTCTGGACATAAACACACTTGTAGTGAATACGGTCATTATTGCGAGAAAAATATTTAGCCATTGTATGTTAACACCTGATGCCGCACTACAAGCAATATTTCATGTACATGTATGTGAGACTCAATTGCATCCACAAGGCCGTAGATGCATGTAAGCACACAATGCTGTACAGTATAAGTAGTAGTCGACATGTGGTGCCTTCCTGCTGCACATGCACATGCAGCAAGTTGGCAACGACACATGACCTATCTGCACCGCACAGCGTGAGCTTAGAAAGGAATATTGCACACATAGTGCTATTTGTGTTCCGATATCATTAAGCCAGTATACATGTACTAGTATCCTTATACATGTACCTGGTCACTCGATAGGCGATGCCGACTGTACTAATCTTATCCATATTACCCGATAGGCTATAGCACACTGCGTCAGATCACTATGCAACAAAACAAGAGCTTTGGAGCGAATATACACTGAAGCAAAGTAGGTTTCAACGGTACAGCACTAGTCACGATGAGGGGAGTTACGAGGATGGTTAGGCCGTGACACATAGATGATGATTGTTAATGATTCATGCACGGTGGAAAATTACCACCAATGGCGATGATATTGCTTTCACAACAATGACATCAGTAGGAGCAGTGACACAACCTTACTGCTCCAAGTAGGATTTACAAGCGAGTGAAGGGAGAGCAGACTGGTCTAATACTGTAATAGCAGACCGGGTCTAAGCAAGGAAGTAATCGGCATCAGAGGTGAGCTTGCACATCAGAAAACAGATGATGATCACCAAACACAGAGAAGTTGGCTATGTGTATGTTTGTGTCACTGTGTGTGCGTGTGTGTTTGTGTGTATGCGTGCACATCTGTGTGTGAGAGAGAGGCAGACAGACAGATAGCATATGGTGGGAGGGATCAAGGTCTGACCTCAGAGTTAATGCTGACGGTGTGGAATAGCAACAGTGCGAAATCGGGCAGGGTGGTTAATGGCCCACACTGGAGCCGAGTAGGAGCGCCAGTGGTTGAGGGCTAGCACAGGAATAGCAGCAGCTCCAGCCTAGGAAGATCAGCTTCTGGATGAAAATCTCCCGGACACAGTAGGTACCAAGCTTCACTAGCAGATTGCCGGCAGGGGTGCACGGCGAGCACCCGTACATCCCTCAAGCCACCAGAGCCGCAGTACTTGGACACGATCCAGGTGCTTACCCGCCAACAATGCTGAGAAGGCACTGGAGCCATACAGGAACTTATGATCGAGCATGACCACAGACTTGAAATACAGGGTCCGGCGTTGAATACTGAGACAGCGACGTCTCCTCCACAGAACACCACTCAGCCCCACCATTGCATTATTTTCGCTTTTTCATGATTTTTACAAGTGTGTTAGAGCACGCAGCATGCACTCGATGCAACATTTACCAGTGACTAAATAACTCCGCGTCTCCGACCATAACTGCAGCGTTCCCGTGAGCCTGTTGGATTTCCGTCAGCCTGTTGAGATTATCTTCATCTCGTCACATGTGAGCCTGTGTGTTTCATCCGTATCGTGGCACAATTACACAGACACGATTTCCAACTCAGGCCGGTTCCGTTGCTCGAAGGGTTGGCGGTAAGAATTGCTACGCCGTCTGTGGCTGCATGGGAACTTGGCGAGTCGTCGTCTTTCTCTATAAATCCTGATCGTCACGCGAACAACAGCCACTATTGCCTAAAAACTACGACACAACAGTATCAAGCTCGCCCCAGCAGAAGGACACGAATGACGAGCGCTAAGACGGATAAAGAGAGACAGGGTTAGCGAGAGCTGACTAGTGCAGGTACGCTGTCATCTCCTGAGAGGTGGTGGGCGAAGCAGCGAAGTGAAACGAAGGAAGATAGAACTTATTAGAAGGCATACGGAGGCACCAAAACCTATTGCCTGTCACATACTAAGTGCCATTTAGGGTTGACAGCTGTCAGCTGACAGCCTCAAAAATTTGAAAATCTGCTCAAAAAACTCCCGATCAGAACTCTGCGCACTCTCAAATGGAGCGCACAGTAAAAAACTCGGCGACGAAGAACGCTTCGTATCGACGCCCTGGACTGAATTCGGCACGTCCAACAAACGGAATAGTGTTCTCTGATATATTCTCTACGTGCTGGGTATGGTCGCGTTTAGTTGGAAGCTCAGTGCATCACCACTTTCGATTTTCAAAGAGTTGGTGGACAAGCCGTTGATTATTCACTCTCATTGTAATATCAAAAAGTATTCTTTCTAGACCAAAGAGTGGTATATTTGATAACATTTAATAACGATAGAGATTTTTACGGTACTTCTCCAGACGTTTCGTTGTTCTGAACAACATCGTCAGTGGACGATGTTGTTCAGAACAACGAAACGTCTGGAGAAGTACCGTAAAAATCTCTATCGTTATTAAATGTTATCAAATATACCACTCTTTGGTCTAGAAAGAATACTTTTTGACTTTCGATTTTGAGACTTGGCCGATGGACTACCTATCCTGCCTCTCTCTCTGTGCCCCTTGCTCTCTCGATCTCTCACACAAGTACGAGTACGTACCACAACTCTCCTCTCCTCTCCTCTTGTCAGAAATGTGTACCAGTTGTACAATACCGTACTCGATGACATCATGCGTACAATATCGCCACGTGGTCATATTCACTCCGTGGTTCAATTTTTGAAGAATTCGAAATCAGTGTGTGAAGGAGTAGACTGTTTGATGGTGTTTGTTGGAACGAGTGAGGAGTGAAGGGTTGTTTTTATTGTAACGAGTACGCAGAAGACATGCAGTTGTTCCTGACGTGGAGCAGGCGCTGTGGACGCCTTCCTCTCGTCGTGGATATTTTCGTTCGAGTAGAAATCTGTAAAACAAATTCAAATTTGTCGAGGCATGAACTGGAGTTTTTGCTGTGGATGCATGGAGTAGCAATGTTGCTGAGGAAGGAGAGACTTGTTCTGTACATGTAAGTCGTCTTGTGGAGAGATTGATTTCGTCTCGTTGTAGATTATATCCTTGGCCTTCGTTGTGTTTTCGTTTTTGTAAAATTTGAACGAATTTTCTTAAAATTGATTTTCTGTTGTTCCTGTGATGTGTTGCTGAGTTACTCAGGGAGGGAGAACAGCGTTGGACCTAGCCCTGGAACGCAATTATGAGGGATGTGTGCAGTTGCTGGTGGATCACGAGAGTGCGAAGGTATGTACAGTAGGCTTGACTGTGAGTGACTGAATTTAGATGTACTGTGTGTCTACAGTAAATATTACAGCGTGTCGTACATTTGATTGGTTGAACTATGCAGTGACTAGGTGTCACGTGAGTCACGTGAGGTGCACCTCCCACCACCATGTCCTACATTTGTACAGCTGTCCATGAGATCAAGAGTACATAAACACGAGAGTGTGTAACTCCGCTTGGTCTGGCCATGGCGGAATGTTTTGTTTTGTTGACCTTTCTGGAGATGATGAGTCATACCGTACGGGGCATGTACTACGAGTCTGTGGGCGCGTGAGCTTGTACAGTTTTCATTAGGGGTCGTCGCAAAAGTTTTTGTTGCCTCTGAAACGAACATTCGTTTTTTGGGGGGGGGGGGGTGTAGGTTGTGTGAGCCAAAATCACAACTCGACTGAGCATCATTCGTTTTGGAGTGGGAGGGGGGGGGGGGGGGGGGGATGCGGGTGTGAGCCAAAATCACAACTCGACCGACACTGTACATTGTACTTGTACATACATGCGATTATCGTCGTCCAGTATAGCAAGCTGCGTTCGTTTCAGAGTGGGGGGAGGGGTCCGAGTACGAAATAACGATATTGTCTCCATGGTCATAGCCAGCCTGAGATTGAACGCGGGGGGGGGGGGGGGGGGGGAACTATTAGGGACCGTTAGCAAGCCTTGTAACGTCAACGGGAACGAGTTCATCGTAACGCACGTGAAACACGGCATGATTGAGGATTAGCTTCTCGCGTTCACAACCCGTCTACGCGAGTCGGCTGCTTTCCAGTTTCAAACAGTTTTCTGATATCTTACTGGCAATTGTTTTTGTGAACTTTTCCTTGAGAACAATTCTCAGCCTGACTGACTTTTACCCGAATGAAAGTGAAAGAAACCCCATGACACCCACATCTCCGATGGATGGGTGCAGCAAAGGGTTGTGTTCACGAGGTCCATGCCAAAACATAAATGAGCGAGCAAGCTGAAGTTTGTCTTGAACAAGCATAAATGTTGGCACTGTGGTTACCCTCGATCCTGTTCTGTGTCATGTTAGTAACGGTTATGCCAAAATCAATGGTCCTACTGGTTGTTTGGTACGTTTCGCCGTCGTATTTATTCCAACAAGAATGGGCGAGACATTTTCGCAATTTGAAGAAAATCGCAAAGACCAAAAGAGGCGCGATTTACGGTGCTATTCTCCGCTTCATGGTTGAATTCGCACGTACTTGACTAAAACCCACTTGTTGCGGTCATGGCGAGTAGACCCCTCCGAACTCATCAAACACGAGTATGTTTCGCGTGGTCAGGACGGGACTCTAACCCAGCTCCCCCTTCGCGTTGCAGTTTCACGGCTTGCTAATGGTCCCTATCACATGGCATTGGCGGGTTTACGGGGGGGGGGGGGGGGGCACGCTCCCACCCCCCCTCAAAAAATTTCGACCTGGGTTTGAAAAAACACCAGGCTGCTACATGCACCATGTGCACAGGCGGTAGACTCTACGCGGTGGGAAGCAGCGTCCAAAACCGGTTGCACGGACCGTCGGTGTGTGAGCGGCATTGATTGCACTGTGAAAGAAATGATCGACTCTGTACGAGCTCTATGCTTTTGTACAGATTCCAGGACACGCTTGATGCGTCTTGAGAAAGGCGTGCAGTGATGTGCTGAACGCAGCGCTGCCCAAGTGGGACAAAAACAAAGCTTGTGATCGTCAAGCGCCTCTTTTCGCAACGGTGTACAACGTTGTTTTGAGGATGATCCCCTCCAGATTCGAATCGCGAATTGGTTGACTTGAAGACTTTTCTGCGAAGTCTCAGCGACATCCATGGACCAAAGAATACAAGCTCTGGCCAGCAGCAGCCTTGATGGATTTTTGCAAAGCGTTCTTGCGACGGCGCAATTCCTGTTCCAACAGGAAACAGTGGGAGTGATCAAGTCGTTGCCAGTCCAGTTCGGAACGAACTGACATTCCGCCCGACGCGGAGGTACCAGTACCGGTTGTCAGTGAGCAGCCAAAACATAATGAAGAACAGCATGATATGCTCCAATAAAAAGTGTGCAAGGATGCACTGGACAAGTAACATGACTGATGATTGTACAATGTACAGTAGGTATCGGTTATAGCGTGGGTGTTTGAAAAACGACTTCTATTCTTACTTGCAATATTTCTTGCTCGCGATAAGTCAAGTGTGACATATCAGATACATGTGCGCAGACACAGGATGGTCATCATACATACAACGTATCTCTGCTGTGGATGCGGGTGTTCATAGTCTCATACGCTTGCCATGTGGCTATGCAGCATGAGATACATGACAAGACCAGTTGAACCTGGAGCACTACAATGCAATGCGAGTCGGAGCAGAACTGCATTGGACAGATGTTATTACTACACTCATCTACAGGCGATACACTTTGTACCAATCTGGTATGTTTTGCTACACAAAGTCCATTCTTAAGCTGTGTTCACAACTGGCGCGTGTACGCGTGAAACCACGTGTTTGTGCGTATTTTGCTGGCTTTTGGGGCGCCATGCGTACGGAAACGCGTCGGAATGGAACTTCCAACATGTTGGAATTTTCAACGCGTATCAGGCGCGTACCAGCGTACATGCCAGTCACCTTGACTGGCGGGGTCAAAAATTAGTACTCGAAGGTGTCGCACGCGCTAAATACGACTCGGATTGCTGGTTTTTTTTGAAAGCCTGAGCGCGCGTTTGGGCACGCATGAACCGCAAGCGTACCGCGTACACGCGCCAGTTGTGAACACAGCTTTAGGACCGACATATTCTACAATGCGATAACATTGCTTGTACTTCCTCCGCGTCATTAAAATTGTCGCTGCGCACATCGCAATGTTTGTGACTTGGCTCGTCTTAGTCAGACTGTCGGAATCGCTGTTTTCTGTGTTCGAGCATTGGTGCGACCCTTCCTGCGCAATCTCTACTTGTTACTGAAGCCGTGGTGGTCTCGGACTTTGTCGGAGCTCTCTTCCGCACCAAGCAAATTCATCGTGCTCCGCACTCTTCCGCCCCAGAGCGCATATCGTTTTTCTAGAGTTCGTGCCGTCCCATATCGTTCGCGTGGGTATTTATCAAGACTGCAAGCTCGGGTATAAGAATCCTGGTATCTCTCCTGAATACGAAATGCTGAAGTTGACGATTGCAAGAACAAAGTGTTCTCGAATTCCTAAAATGCGCTACTTGTGTCGCATGTTGCTACGAAGGTAGCAAGTCTGAAAACACCAACAAAATTAGCGAAGCGCTTGCCAAGGAAAGAAGTTGCGGAACTACTTACCCTATCCCGCTGGATGGTCGTTACAGTGCACTTGAAAAATGCTAGCTTGCCTTCATCGCCTGCCACCTGGAGGCATGGATCGCTTGAAAACGAAGTTTCTTTACCTGAATTTGAACGCGCGTCTTGTTCAGCACATTGTTGAGTGCTGAAGGGCCTGCCCCAAACTCTGATGAAGACGTCGACCTTAGCTGCAAGTGCAGCAAATCGGGAGGCCACAAACTAAAGCTTGATCCGTCGACAATGCTCTGCCTCAATTTCTAGCTGATTTCTTTGCCCTTCGAGTAGACAAAATAAATTCGAAAAATTGTTCTGGGAAGCGGCAATTTTAAGTAAGAATATATGTTCACTTGAAACCCATGTTATGATTATGAAAATATGAGAGTTCATTCTTGTAAGTAGTATATTCTTTTACACGACCACGCTATAACCGATACGCACTGTAGTAACTGAGCATGAGATACTTTAATCTGTATAGTGTAGGTCTGGAAGAAATACCTGGCATGTAATCATTTTGTAATGTTGAATAGCTAGGTGCGTGACATACATCATTACAGTCATGTGCACCATGTCATCTCCCCCGGCCACGACCCCCTCAGCCAAATCCTGGACACGCCACTGCATACTTGTGGATATATGGGGGGGGGGGGGGATGGGGATGAATGCAGCACTCGACCTAAACTATATCCTATTCTGTGCACCAAGCGCTAAATTTGGTGCCGGCCGGCTTTTTAGGGTATCACTGCATTTGATCAACCAGACGTCAAGTGCATGTGATAATTGGGACCATTTGCAAGCCGTGAAACGGCAAGACGAATGAGTAAATTGTGTTAGAATCCCATCCTGTCCACGCGAAGCACACTGGTGTTCGATGAGTTCGGTGGGGTCTACTCGTCATGACCACAACGAGTGTTTTTTTTTTAATCCAGTGCGCGCGATTTCAACAGATACGGAGAATGCACAGTAAATTGCGCCTCCTTTTGTGACTTTTCTCAAATTTCCAAATGTTTCATGCACTCCTGTTGGAATAAAGTATGATGGCGAATATACGGTGTACGAAGGCAAGGCACTTTCTCACTAGACAAGTGACGTTTGCTAATACTTGGTCCGCCAAGTTACAATTGGCGCTTGTCTTCGCACCTGATTTTTCGGTGTTCTGGCTGTGTCATACCGCATGGAACCACCGTTTCACCATCCGAACATAACCATAGACCATTGCATCCAAAAACATGGCAGCACAATCCAGCACAGAAGTTGTGATCGGTTCGTTTGAATCTTTTTGACTGGAGCTGCAATCGACGAACACTTCCGTCACCGCAATAAAAGGCTGCAGTCTCCGCTCCAGTCCGTAAAACAGGTCAGGATGTTCACACTTCAGAGCGATGGCGAATACAGTTTCTGCCTACTTCCAGCTGTCTGGTGGCAAGGATGGTTTTCCGCGGGGAGGTATAGAAAAGCTGAAAAAGCGCATTGTTAGCTTGAATTTGAGTAGTCGCACTTTCAACACCGGCACTTTTGCTCGTGTGCAAAGTATAATCGTGAGCACACGGGCCCCAGCCAAGTTAAAAAATCAGTTGCAAGCGTGTGTCAAAGTTTATCGTATGCGAGTAAATATCCTTGGAAATGGTACGACGGGCCGTAAGCATACTGCCCACCAAGGGCGCCCATATGGTCGACTTGGCCAGTAACCTGCCCGCTGCGGGCGCATGAATGGCCGCCGAGGCCAACAGCTTACCCATCGAGAGTAAAAGCATGCGGCCCAACCAAGGGCGCGCGAGAAGCGTATAGCCGAAGCGAGGGCGCATGATTATAGCCCGACCGAGGGCGCATGATTATAGCCCAACGGAGGGCGCATGATTATAACCCGACAGAGGGCGCAGGATTATAGCCCGACCGAGGGCGCATGATTATAGCCCGACCGAGGGCGCATGATTATAGCCCGACCGAGGGCGCAGGATTATAGCCCGACCGAGGGCACATGATTATAGCCCGACCGAGGGCGCATGATTATAGCCCGACCGAGGGCGCATGACTATAGCCCGACCGAGGGCG